CTATGACGCAACAGTCGCTCGACATTTTGTCTACCGTGTGTCTTTTGTCTTTAAAGTTAATTATTTTTATATTCTTCTAACTTATAAAGGTAATAATATAAATAATATAAATTTAATTATATTAGGTTGAGTAAAAAGTCATCGCGTATTTTTTAGCTCAAAGTTGTATATACAATATCTTCGTCAATAATGAATGAAATTCAAATTTAAAAAAAGGGTTTTAAAGCTTGAAATCTCTACTTTTAAAAGCTTATCACATTTTTTAAGTTTATATGAGTTTGATAATTTTTACATACCAAAAACTACGAGCTGAAAAAGACGAAAAATTTTCTTCTCACTTTGTGGATTTGTAACGTGTCCAAAACGAATTTGAGAAAATTTTCGATTACCTATCGTGAAAGCTTGATACTTTCCCTACAAAATCGTTTTTTTTTAATATTCCTACGACTTTTGATTACTGAGTTATCGCGGATTAAATAAAAGAATTATTTTGACTTTAATTGCTCATAACTCCATTAAAAATTGTCGTATCGTATAATTTAAAAAAGAGATTTTTAAAGCTGAAACTTTACTCTATTAAGATATATTTATATTGTTGGTAAGAAAGTAATTGCGGTTTTTACTGATAGATGTCTTTTAAAAAAACGCGATGACTTTTTACTTAACCTAATATTAAATATTGTTAAAAAGTATAATTATAGATATCAAAGGAGCAATGGTATTGCCAATCCTTTAAGTTAAATAACAATTTATTATTTTTGTGTGTCAAAATGTGAATTAATCCGTTTCTGCAGTTAATTTCAAAGTAAACAGTGTCCATATTAACGTACGCATTCAGTAAATAATAAACTAAATTTCAGTCAAGTTTACGTACATTTTTTGAGTTTCTTAAATTGTTTAACTTTATTCTTAAATTTATTGAGTAGGAGCAGGCGATCTATAGAAATGATTAAAAATAACTGAAATTGAGTGTAATTTAATATTATGAATTTAACAATGTAAAAATAAAAAATTTCTTGAGTGTTCTGAGCATTCCACTTACTTAAAGGTTAATATAAGATTATTAGTTTTTGCCCTTACAATTAGTTCCTCACTATGGCTCTAAGTGTATAAACTAATTATATTAAAGTATTTTACAATAGTTACAGAGCTGCTTTTCCTGAATGCAATCATTACTAAGCGTGAAATATAATATTTTGTACACAGTTGAAAAATTTACATTAAATTTAATTTACATTTTTCAAACGGTCCACTCAAATTTTTGTATTAATTTAATACAAAATAAATACATTAGAAAATAACATAAATTTTGATATGACAAAAATTAACACAATAAATTTAACACTGACACAGTTCGTAAGTAAACCATATTTTTTCAGTAAAATTAATATTTACGATATGTTAAATTAGCACATATTTTATTTATATATCTTAGAATTTGTTTTAAAATACATTATATTTATACATATTATATGTTTATTTATTCATAAATTTGTCACTAAAAATATTGAATATTAATTTGCACAATATGTAAATAACATAATTACAGTGTTGTAAAATTAATATTCGGGATATGTTCAAAAATTTAACAGAAAATTTCTACAAAAATGTGAATGGATGGTTTTTAAAAACCAAATGCAAATACAAAATGTTTTTCACTGTGCAGCAGCTGTGTTGACTGATAGACGCGGCGTACGTAGTACGCCTATTGTTTACGTAGTTATCTTGATGTTTTCGCGCGACACGACTCTCTGTGGTTGCGGAGTGAGTAGGCGGACAGGTGAGACGCGTGACGACGCATTATCCTTCGAGACGCGAAAGCGACAAGTTGCTAGTGATACGATACATCTGAAGGACGCGATTGTTTCCTATGAAAAACTCGATGGTAATTGGATCGCGCGAGTGCTTGACTTTCCTGTATTTCGCGGCTTACGAACATTATCGAAGTAACGGTCGTTCATTGAGACGAATTTATCTCACGGAATTGATCTATTCCAAGCAGTATAAATATACTTCACCTTTCGTATAAACCTCAGAATCGACATCAGATCAGAGTAATTTTCAAATAACGAAGAAATGTTCTGGCCGTTTAAAATAGCACGTATTTCTCACGGGATTTGTGCGTTCGAACTGCATCGCACGTACGATACTGAATCTTGATTAGTTCGAACAGTTCTTTTGTATTCTTTGAATCTTTGACTTTGCGAATCGAATTTATTGCACGATATATAATTTATAAAGCGCTGTTTTTCAATTATTTGTGCAGTGTTGCAGTGGGGGGAGAAGAGGGGGGGGGTGAGAAATAAAATATTGAGCTTTCATATTACGAACTACGGAAAATAAATTAAATTTTAGAAAACTTTTTTAATTCGAAGTCGTGATACGGAATTGAGTGTCATCAATAAAGTGTATATTAAAATTTGAAAGTTATGACAAGTCGTCGCATATCGATAGAAAAGTGATACAAATAAAAAATTGGCATTAGGGTTGCAATGTTCAAATTTTAAAAACTCATCTGACATATAGTTTTAAGGAATATATATAATTTTGAAATTATAACATGGAAAGAGAGAAAGTGAAGTTACACATATTAATTATATATCCTAATTAAGATGTTGACAATTTTAAAAATGTTTTATTGAAAAGTTGCTAATTTTGAAATGTGTTGCTTTTCTATCGACGCTTTGATAATATTTTTGACATCTCCATCATCAGAATTTGACTTGAAATTTCACAAGGATCGTCGTTTCGTTTGACGAGGTAAGCCAAATATTTTGATCGGGGAATCGTGAATACGTGTATATTTCTGTAATAAATTCATTCGTCTCGACACTCTTTTTATACCAGTCCTTTTAGGCCTTTATTTTCCGCGAACGTCGGCGTCGAGTGTGCCACCGATCGTATGTAAGAATGTAAGCACTTCGCCGCGAGAGCTTTTGTCTCGTCGGCTCTTTGTTTCCCGTCGACGGGTGTCTCCTCGGCGGGTCAATGAATCGGGTTGCGCGCCGCGACGACGCCCGACCGTGGAAATGCATTTTGTTCGATGCTTCGAGAACGTGGCGCATTGTTCGACAGTTTGCGACTTCGTGCCGACATCGTGTCGGCCGGTCCCGCTATCGCGTATCTGCGTGCATATGTGTGTGTGTGCGTGTGTGTGTGCGTGCGTTACATTAAATTGCTCTGAAAATGTTCGATCTTTTTTTCAACCTATTTTATACTCCAATTTTATTTTCTGGGTTTCTCTAATCATAGAGAGGAATAATTTTGGTTTCAAAATACGTTAAATTTTTTTAATTTATGAATAATTTATAATTTATTTTTATAATTTGGGAGGGTAGTTTAATTGAAAATATTGAAGAATTATTAATATTTATCTGTTTAACTAATATTGAATCAATATTATTTATTATATTAATATTCAATTCACTTTGTAATTATTTTTACATAGAAGTTTATTTTTTAATTTAAAACGTCATTTATTTTTATGCGTTTTTATTTTATTATTAAGCATTTTGTTATAATCGAGCTGAGTAACTAAAATTCTACTTGAAAAAGACCAATCGAAATTAAATGGAGGATGAAATTTATTACTACCACTTGCAGTTTAACTTTAGATTTTTAAGGTCCAGTTTCATTAATGTAAGATTAACTTTAATCTCGGTTTAAGTTATTATTTATCTTTTTGTAATTCCTAGATTACGAAAGGATAAAGAGTAAATTGAACCGAGATTAAAGTTAATCTTACATTGGTGAAATCGGGCGTAAAGCGGCAGTTTACAATGAGATGTTAAGATGTAAAACTTAAGCCTAAGCCTTAAACCATAACAAATTGACCAATCGTATTCTCCTCGCATTTGACTGTAATTAGTCAGTTTTTTACTTGAGTTTTTTGCTTAAAGTTTAAGTTTTACGCCTTTAAATCTCATTGTAGACGTCGCTTAAGAGTCACCACCTACTCCTGGACGTGTGTGCGTGCTTCAAGGGTCATTTGCGTGTGGATGTTCACACTCGCGTGTGTGGAATTTGTTCGGCGAGGTTCTGCTCGTGGACATTGACGTAATCGTGTCCCAGTTACGCCGCTCGCAATTACGCAAACGTGTTGTCGAATTGTGACCGCTTTTTTTTCATGCCTTAGGTGGTACGCGAAGAAATGAATTCGTCATCTCTTTTGTGTGTGTGTATGTGTGTGTGTGTCTCACATCAGTTACATCAAGATCTTTCCTCGATATTTACACATTGATTAGTATCTCATATACATAGCAACGTAATTTTATCACATATTTGAGCAGTTTAATTGCAGATTGCATGGCTTTCTTATCTTTTTAGTAGGTATGATAGATGATGCTCAAAAATTAAGTAATTG